AAATAAAAATAAAATAAATAAATAAATAAATAAATAAGAAAAAAAAGAAAACAAAAAAAAAAAAAAAAAACAAAAAAAAAAAAAAAAAAAAAAAAAAAAAGGAAAGGATAAGGCTCAACTTTACAATAAAAGCAAAGTTGCAACTCATAATTCACTGAAAGCTATTGTTTATTGTGTCATAAAATGTTCAAATAAATGATGTGGACAATTATAAGTCAGAAAAGAATGGATGCCCAGTGTCAAAAATGGATGCGATCATGGGCAGGAGAGAAAGAGAATCACGGGCAGGTGGTCCCTACAATCACATCCCTACCCTTATCCTATCACGTATTTTCTCCACTCCAACAAACTCCCAAACAAACACCGTTTTCCCACTCTCCTCCACCAAAACTCCTACAAATTCCACCACTGTGATTGCCGCAACCCATGCTTCTTTTCTCTTGAGAATTTACAGAGAGAGAGAGAGAGATGTTGGCCGTGTTTAGCAACACCGTGGTGACGCCACCGGATGAGCTGGTGGCGGCGGGGTGCCGGACGCCTTCGCCGAAGACGAAGGCTTCGGAGTTGGTGGAAAGGTTCTCTCAGAAATTCCCATCGGGACTCTGTGTGTGCGTTGGGGACCTTGCTCACTTGTGCCACACTCATGAGAACCAGGCCCTCTTGCAACCAAGGTACTATCATTTTGCACCTAGAAAGAGAGAGAGAGAGTGACACTTTTCATAAGAAAATCCCAAGTAGGCGTAGATTTGATCATTTTTTTTCATATGCTTTTCTTCGAAATTTCTTGTATCCAAATTTCAAGAAATGTCTGGAAATGAAGAAGGGTATATTGATGATAGAAAGAGATCAAATTTTAAGCTTTATTTTTTTGGTCATTTCTCAGTTAACAAAATTTTGGAAGAACTTATATTCGAAGATTTTTTTTTTCTTTTTTTGGGATTGGTATACTGACAAAATTGGAAAAATAGATAAATAGCAGTAAAAGAAAGTCCATCAATTTGTATACCTCACTCTTCACCTTGTTCCAGAATTCCAAGTAATACAGTATTGTTATCATTAAATTCGAATTCCTGCAACAAAAAATAGAGAAATTTCCAGAAATATTCAATTTAACTTTTTGAATTTAAAAGCTTTTTAAATTTAAAACTCGTCCCCAATATCTCATATTCGGCGATCAAATATGATTTTTTGAGGACTTTTTTTGTACCAGTGTTATATGACGAGAAGAACGGATGCGAGCTTAATCGAATACATAGAAAGAATTAACTCTGACATGAAATATATTATACTATTTTAAAATTTTAAAAATATTTTTTTTTTTTTTAAAAGTATTTCATTGATTTTATTAGGAGATGACTGAGTTACGTTTGGCTAAAAAATAAAAAATTGGCAGATCGTTTGCGATGAAGGACGAAATTATGTGTTTGTTCGTGGGGGCGTTGGATAACCTAGCGAGTCTAAGGCAACAGTATGGTCTGTCAAAGAACGTGAACGAGGCTGTGCTCCTGGTGGAGGCTTACAAGGCGCTACGTGATCGGGCCCCCTATCCGGCCAGCCACGTCGTGGGCCACTTGTCCGGCCACTTCGCCTTCGTTGTCTTTGACAGAACCACTAACGCCGTCTTCATTGCTGCAGTGAGTACCACCAAAATAATGATAATGTATAAATACATTAAAAAAACGTATTTTGAGTTCTATTTGCAACTCACTGTTTATTTTTAAGATTTTGAAGTGTTTATAAATCCAATTGATTTGAACTATTTTGAAATTTAAAATTTTATAATTAAAGATGAAAATGGATTTCATGTCATTTTAATAATTTTTTATATCCGAATTATATTTTTGATAAAATCTGGAGGTGCGCATTAAATTTATTGTTTAAAATTGTAACCTTGTACAAAACACCCTTTGAAAAGTAAATAAAATAAAAATAATTTAGTTTATTTTGAGTTCATGAAGGTCTGCATATTAAACGAACTAGTGGTTATGGATTTATTTATTTATTTATTTTATCGACTAAATTTTGGAAAAAATGTCTACGAGTAAGGTACGCCTCAATGGCCCCAGAAAAAGTTTGCTTTGAATGATGTTGGAATATCCTCAATGAATTGTTTAACCTTTGAACGAAATCATTGTTATTTTCGAATCTTTTGTTATTTTGCTCTATCAAGAGCCATGATCTCGATTAAATTACAATTGGCTGAATTAGTCTATACAAAAATAAAAAATAAAATAAAAAATTGAAAAATAGCAAGAAAGAAAAAGTAGGACCGGATTTTTCAAGCCAGATCTTTTGTTTTTTTATGGAAAAGATGCAGTTTGCTTATACTTTATGAAATCAAAATAAAGCTTATTAGGCATCATAAATTTCTATGATGTCTCTTAAATTAAATTTCAACACTGATTATAAAATTTTGAAGTTTAGCAAATATACAAATCTTGTGGATATGTGAATATTTAATTGTTAGACGAAATAGATAATCTAGATAATATGTTACCATATATGTTTTTTTAAGGTTAGCGTCTAAAATTTTATTTTTTTTGTATAAGATTGAAATGATTGGCTTGAAGTTTTCTTTTTAAGTTAAAACTATAATTTTTAATGAGTTTTGAGGTAAAATATTATTTATTGGATTATGTTACGGTGTTCACATTATAGAGTAATTTATCTTTGTATTTAATAAAATTTGGATAGATATATATTTTGGTTTTATATATAGAATTTTTTTTAATGAGTGTATTTTGAGTAATTAAAAAAAATGTGATGTCGTTTAGATGGGGTGTGACATCATCGACATGAATCATTAAATGCTTTCGTTTCATATAAATGATGTCATATCTCATGTGAATGACATCGTATTTCTTTTAATTATTAAAATTATTGTTACTAAAAAATAATATATATACAAAACAAGAATATAAAAATATCCAAAATTATTTGATAAATACAATGATAAATTAGAGCACCTAAGATAACCTTTATTTTATTTCGATAAAGCCATAACTCATTCAAAAAAATTTGTCAAATAATTCTTGGTATTTAAAACACTTTGGGTTTTATTATTATTGTTATTTATTGTAACATTTACTGCCGCCTTTCGCCTTAATTTTTCAAATAATGGGTTGTCGTTAATTACAATGATTGGTAGGTATATAATATATTTTTTTTTTTGACAAGGATTGGTGGGCTGTTTTTGGCTAGTGTTATGTGGGGTAGGCTTTTGCCGCAAGTGGCTCTTAGAGGCAAGAGAATAGGCCTCCAAGTGGCTCTCTCCAATTGTATGGATGGTTACCGCTGTTTCTTTTTCTTTCGGAATCCCAATGTACACGCTATCTTTGAGGTCCCAAGTGGCACTCCTGAACCGGCTGTAGTTGCTTCCTTGCTTCTCTCTTCTCTGTTCGTCTTCCTTTTTTTTTTTTATTTATTATAAGGCCCGACCCGACCCGATTCAACTAGGACCCAACTGAACCTGATTCGGGTGTGGGTGTGGGTCTGGGTCCAAAAATTGGATTTGAGGGGTTGGGTCAAAGTCCAAATATTGGATCCGATATTATTTGGGTCCAGATCCATTTGGATCCAACTCGAATAGTGTTATATTTATTTATATAATATATAATATTTAAATGAATATAATTGTATTTTTTTTAGTTATACTATTTAAATGATTCATGTATATATTTAATATAATATTTAAATATAGTGAAATATATGTATTTTTTTATTTTTAAGTCGGGTCCAGGTCTGGTCCCATAAATATTTTTGGGTACAAGGCCGATCCCACCCAACCTGTTGCTGCCCCTATTTTTTATTTTTTTTTTATCTTTCAAATAGTTAGTGATTTTTTAAGCTATGGGATTAAAAAGCACCACATGCAATTGAGCTAACAAGCGAGCTCAACCCTTTTCCCAATTATAATTTTAACTTCCTCAAAAGTCTTTATCGGTTGCTTGTTCGCGGTTTGGCAACTCACATACGAACTTTTTTCGTGAGCTTTTTGGCTTACCCAAAAAAAAAAAAAAACAAATGAAATGGACCTAAAACGTTTGAAATTAGCCCTTCATTGATCCAACTTTTTTCGCAACTCACCTACCAATTTATTTCGTGGAAGACTGAACTTTTTGGCTTCTCGTGCCCTAAAAGAATTAATAAAATCAAATCAAATGGACCTAAAAAGTTTGGAATTAGCCCTTTATTGATCATTTTTTAACCAACAAAATTTTGACAAAAAAAAAAAAAAAATTAAAACAAGTTTGGAATTCACCCTTTATTGACCACATTTTTAAGTAGCAAAGTTCGTACCAACCCACGTAAATTGTAATTGGGTTGGATCAAATGATGATTGAGGGTGATTTTCATTTTTGGCACAGGATCAATATGGGAAAACCTCATTATTTTGGGGCATCACATCGGACGGCTACCTGGCTTTCTCAGACGATGCTGAGTTACTAAAGGGTTCATGTGGCAAATCGCTTGCAGCTTTCCCCCCAGGTTCATTCTTAATACTTACTCGCATCTTCATTTCACAAATCCCTTCATAATTAGAGGGTGAATTCTAATGAGTATGGTAAACTAGTACACAACCTTTGCTATCTATTGTCCTATACAATATTTCAAAATTTTGAATTTAAAGTAAATTGTTTTATCAATTGGAATTTATAATTAAAAAGTATTTTGAAGATAAAAAGAAATGCAAAGAAATTCTTTTTATTTTTAGAATTCAAATTGGTCGTATAAATTCTGGGGAAATTTATCACGATATATTTGCAGAATTATTTAACATTTTACTTTAGCTGTAGATTGATAAATTTTAAAGCCCATTTCGATGTGTCATTTGATGGGCTGTTTGAAATTTGATCAAAAGAATGATGAAATATTTTAAATTAGACCAAAGCATTACATGGTTTTGAATCATAAATGTAGTTTGGTAAATTTCCTATATTTTAATATAGATTAGTGAAAACTGTTCATCATTTTAGTAAGGGTGTGGTTTGTATAGAGCTGAGGCTCTTAACAATCAAAGTAATGGCCACCTTCAAATAGTGTCGAGACATGCGGTTTTAAAACTGAAAGTCATTGTGATAGCCTTTAAATATATTTTCATTTTTAATTATAAAATCTAAAGCTTCTAAAATAGTGTAGATCAAGCATATCTATAAAAACTTGAAAATCTTGAAATTTGACGCTAAAAAAATGCATAACAAGATGCATTATTTCTAAAACTTGAAAGTCCATATTTTTCTATGTCCATGCATCTTGATGTCAAGATGATCAATTTGAAGATATTTGGGCAATCAAAACAACCTCTTATAGCGAAATTTTTAAGGTGGACTCCAATTTAGTTATTTAGAGCCTCGGCTTTGTATAAAGTTTATCTTTTTAGTAAATGACCATAAACTTTTATGTTAAATAGGATGTTTCTTCCTGACTGCTGGAGAACTTAGGAGTTATGAGCACCCAAAGAACAAAGTCACTGCCATTCCTGCAACTGAAGAAGAGATGTGGGGTGCTACTTTCAAGGTAAGCATATATTCCTACTCTAATTGTCTTTGGGTATGTAAAAATATTGTGCCTAGGACTAAATTAGAGGAAAAACAAATCAAAGTCTGCCAATATGTCTAATTATCTTCGAAATTCTAGCCACAAGTGCACAATGTTCGAATTTCTGGCTTAATTTTATTGGATTTTAGCTACTAATTCCACTAAGGGGGTTACCTAACTATTGGGCCTATGACTATTTTCCTCATGTTCCTCTATAATTTAATAAATTTTGTAAAAAAAGAAGTTAATGATTGTGTGGCTTAGCCTTGATCTTTTTATATTTTATTTTTTATGCTAAAAATATATTTTTGTTTTTGTTTTTTTTTCAGGTGGAAAGGGCCCCGGTCTTGTACACTGGAGAAATCAATATCATGTAATTTCACACACAACTCTCTCTAGACCCTCTGCACATTTTTTTTTTTCTTGCTTTGCTTTGGTGGTTGTATTGTAAATTTACAAGGCTGTAGGGGTGAAGCCATGTAAAGAACACCTCACCCAAGCTCGTGTCTTTAGTAAGGGCGTAGAAATAACCAGTACTTGAGATTTACATTTCTCTCTCTCTCTCTCTCTCTCTCTCCTTGTGGAATTCAGGCTATTAATATAGGAGACCCTCAGATTGGGCCTTCAAGCTAAGGTCACGAACGATAATAGGAAAATATTAATATCAAAGCGCGCTTAAGAAATAGAGAAACGATCGACATTTTACTCACTTTTTTTAATTTTAAGAAGGGATTATATATAAAGAGACCATTTACATTTGGTATTGGGAGGTTACAATCACTTATAACCATCAAATGTAAGATCTGATAGTTTGGGTATGTCACAAAGCTCGACAAAATTTGTTTTTAAGTTTGAGCTTCGTCGATCATATGGATGAAAATTTCTTTTGAAATTTGAACTTGGTCGATGATATAAATGTTTCTTTTGAAGTTTGAGCTTGGTCGATGATATAAATGCAGTCATTAGAACTAATTTATTGCACGCGGACAAAAAAGACTTTGAAAACATCAATTTTCTACAAATGGTTAAAAAATTCCCCCTTTGCTTTATGAGGTGAACGAGAGATTTTAAAAGCATCCTCAAAATGCAAGCTTTAGTGCTTCTATTCACGCGGTCTTTCGGCATTTATCTAGTTTCTGGCCATTGAGTGGCCCTGAACATTTCTTAATGAAATCTCTGAGAGTTTCAGTTGATCTTATTGTGGGGTAGTAGAATGTGTACTGGTAATCAGGTTCACTGAGAGTTCCATACACCAAGAACTGGTGAAAGGTGGCATTGTTGAGGAAGCGATCGTTGCGAGATTCTATGATCGGTGTGAGGTCGGCATGAAAATGTTGGAACCACGGTGTCACCTCTAGTCGTCGTCCCGGCTCGAACACGTTTTGCTCAGAGAGAATCTTGGCATGCGCCCTCCCTCCGATCGCATAATAGTTCCAATCCTTGTAGTAGTTGTTTACTACATGACAATAGCCCCATCTGAAGAAAATAGTGAAACACACACACTGGTCAAGTCCAAGGAACCAGAGTTCGCTAAAAAATAAATAAAAGGTATAATTATCATTTTCTCATCAAATTGAAGAAAACTCCAAAGGGAATCTAACAACATTGCTCCAAACCGTTAGGCTACACTACCAAAAGTAGCCTACGGTGCCCTGCAGTCTAGGACAATTTAACTAATTCTAGAAAAGGTAATTTTTTTTCTGAGTGATGCATACCTGCAATGTGGCATCCTCTGATTAGACGAGTCGAACCAATTCCTGTATACTGTGACCCGCAGATGTTGGTCGACCACGTCCTCATCGGAGGCGCCCAGAAGCATGTTGAAGTTTGGGTTTGTGAGATAGCTATTCGACACCGTCACGTCTGTGGCCCCTTGAAGCACTGTCACCAACCCTAAATCTGCGTCGAAAGATGCCACATGGTCTATCCACACGTGGTGGGACCCATCAAACACATGTATCGTGTCGCTCTCCCCCGTAGACCCCACGGCCACATTGTGTATGATGATGTTCTCAACATGGCCAAGTACCAGCCCCTTCCCCTTGATTGTCACAATGGCTCCTCGACCGTCGATTGTGGTGTGTGATTTGATCCACAGCTTCTTCATCAGGTTAATTACCATGTTTCCCTTGAACATAATCCACACACCTCCAGAGGTTCGCTCTGCCAGCTCCACAGCATACCTAAAGGCAATTCAAAAAAGAAAAAAACAGCATTAAAACATTATAACGGTTCATGTTTTAGTCCAAGACAGAGAGCCATTATAATAGCCAAGGGTAATTACAACCATTGAAACCTTGCCTGAGGGTCCCTGGTTTGGGGTTTGCAGGGTTGTTGTCCGAAGGGTCTGTCACTATATAATATTTGCCAGTTGCACCGCCGGTGGTTCCGGCGGCGAATCCCATGGCACAAACGGGAAGCCTGTTGCCGCTTGCGCATGCTGAGAATTGACACTTGGTCCCATCCACTTGGCAATTACTCATTGCTTGTTTTTGCTGGTAATTGTAGTAATCATGGATTCTTTTGGGATTGCAGGCTTGGTATTGGCAATTGATTTGTTTCAAGAGGAACTGCTTAGCTCTTATTGCATGATTCAATGCCTGGTTTGAGACGTCCAGTTCTTCTTCCAAAGCATAGATCTGTTTTAGAAGAATGCTCAGGGCTGTTAATATGCCCCAAGTTTAAGCGGGTTGAAGAAACTAGATGCTTCACCTAAATCAGTGCTAAGATCCTGGTTTGACTCTAAACCGCTTGAGTCGAACCGGAATCTGTCTGAGTCCCTCTCAAAGTCGGTCTCCGACCAAATCCCCCTTAATTCATAATAAATAATACTTTATTATACAAAAAATTGTGTTTTTACAATGATATGAGGATCTTAAACAAGTTTAAACTTAATAAAACATTTTAAGACTTAATTTATGTTTTTTTTTTTCCCCTTAAAAATTGGCTGATTCAGCTGGTTCAGGTGGATGACCGATTTGACCCACCAGTCCACTTTTTAACACTGCCATAGAGAATTTATGACCAAACTAGCTAAACACCCTACACTCTTGGCAATCTTCTTTTTTTCATTTTATGTTGGCGTTCTAAATTGCGACTCGAACAATAAAAGTGCTCTATGGCCAAACTAGCTAAACACCCTACACTCTTGGCAATCTTCTTTTTTTCATTTTATGTTGGCGTTCTAAATTGCGACTCGAACAATAAAAGTGATAAAAAGAGTAGTAATGGGTGAACACGTTCTAATCAGTGTTTAAAAAATCGTCCGGCCCTAGCAATTGTAGAGGAAAATCTTGGAACTGCCCCAAGTCACACATTTTTTCTTATTTCCTTTGGTAAAATGTCATGGATGGAGACTTGCGGAACTTGGACCGCGTAATTCGGATCAGTACCTTGCTACTCGCAACCCGAGTCTCTATTCAGAATCACAAATAAAATAGATATTTACAGAAAGGAAAAGTATACAAAGAGACCATTTACTTTTTGTACAAGGAAGCTACAACCGCTATTGTCCTTTAGATTTCAAATTGGGTGGTTGTAAGAGTGTCATTGAAAAGAATTAAAGTTAAAAATAAAAAGAATTTATCGGACTTCGTAACTAGATCAAGTCATCCAATTTTACATCTAATGAGTATAAATGATTGTAACATTCTTGTAATAAAAATAAAGGATTGTATACAATGAGACCATGTACCTATTGTACAAGGAGGTTACAATTGTTTATCACCATCCAATATGAAATTTGATAGCTTGAATGTGTCACAAAGTTTGAGAAAATTTATTTTAGAATTTGTACTCGGTCAATAGAATAAAAATACAACCACCCAGTTTCACATCTAAAAGTCAAGATTAATTGTGACCAGCTTATACAAAAGATAAATGATTTCAGTCAACTTTTCTTAAAGATAAATGATCTCATTGTATGCAATCCCTTATGAGAAAACCGGAATTACAAATACCACACATACTCCAAACCTACCGTATGGTCAATGTTGGCCTCTGTGCAAGAGTTGAGGTGAAGAATGAGAGATTCTAGGCCTCTGAGGGCGTCTTTATGGTGAGCCACAAGCACCAGGTTTTGCACCATTTTGGCTTGGGTGGAGGCCTCAAGAAGTTGGCCATAGCAACCATGTGATTCCTTGCCATTAGACAGTGCATGCCCCAACAACACTTCTATGGCATGAACATTTTCCATCAATTTTGAGGCCATGGCTGACTGTATAAGGAGAAATGCTAGCACAAGAGAGTGAGCCATTGTTTCCCTTCCCTCTCTTGCTGTTAGTGTCATGTGTTGGTTGAAAGATGGAGTAAATATAGGGAGAGAGGGGCCGTTAGGGATACCCTTTTCTTTTTCAGTTAAATATGAAGGGATAGTTCACGTTTATTGAAGGGCATTTGGGCTGCTTTTTTCTCATGTTATGTGATGGAGATTTGTCTCGTGAACTAAACTCTTTAAACTATTCACGCAATTGCAACCATCCCTCTTCCCACTTCGCAAAATTATTTTAATAAATAACTTAATTATTAAGTAAGAGTAAAATAGAAATATTTACAAAAATACAATAATGTTTTGGAAGTTAGAGTATTATTATCCTTTAATAAGAATTTCAATTTTATCTCTTATAAAAATGACAAAAATAGTTCTTGTATTTTTGTGATATTTACAAAATCACTCTTACTTGATGATCAAGGTATCACAAAAATCAGTTTTTTTTATAAAATAGATACCTCTCGTTTAGTAAATATACCATTTACAATTCACTCTAACATTAATCTTTATAATTTGAAAGATTGTGGATCATAGATTATCCCATAATAATAATACTAATGATAATATGCCTTTTATATGAGCCTAAAAAATAATGTCCTACGTGTAAACAAATGCCATCCGATCTTTGGATGATTGGATCTAAGAGTTTCAGAACTCAAATTTTAGTTTCCTTTGTTGAAAATACTCATATGATTGTCTTAAATGGATCCCAAATTTTCGAATGAAAAATAAATTCCTAAGTTGATCTTTTATTCGAGGGAGTAACTGTATAGTATGATCGGACCATACTACGCCTGCTCAAAACATAATTAGGCTCAAGAATAATGACAAAACCTAACCCGTAACAAACAGCTACAGACAGGTTTTATCTCTACTTTATTACCAACGAGATCGGTGAGGCCTCCAGGTGTGCAAAAATTTCGTGGACTAGTAGTACATTGGGAATATATGCATAAAACATTTTTCCTTTAAAGTCAATACATAAAACATTGTCTGAGGTCCAGGCTCTAAACAATCAAATTAGAGCCTACCTCAAACATTTCACTAGAAGAGGTTGTTTTGATGCTCAAATATCCTCAAATTGATCATCTCGACATCAAGATGCATGGACTTGATAAAACAATGGATTTCAAGTTTTGAAAATAGTGCATCTTGTAACGCATTTTTGGACCGTTAATTTTAAAGTTATTCAAGTTTTCATAGATAAGCTCAATCTACACTATTTTTGAAGTTTTACATTTTATAATTAAAGATGAAAATATATTTTAAGGCTAATCAAAGAT